ATAGTATAGTTAGAGGGACGAAGATGCCGTGAAGACTTACAATTAACAAAAGAACAAATCCACTCATATAACCTAAGGCGACATCATCAACAAATTTCATAGCCATATGATCAATCTGAAGAACTAAGAAGTCCCTAAAGGTTATAGCCTATTATTTTAAAATTTTAATTTAAATTTAAATTTTTTTTTCCTAAAGGCTATAGCCTAATTGAACCTTGTGAACTAATATATATTCTGGGCAATACTAATGAGCTTTTCTGTGGTTTTGTAGTTATTGTTTGGAAAAAATAAAGGGGACAACATAAATTTGATTTACATATTTACAATAACAACAAGGGGGGCTTGATTTGTCAATGCTCTTCATTTTATTTTTAATATCGATTACAATATATTTGGTTAGTGTCTCAATTTCTCAGTATATCAATTCAACCTTGTTTGACAAACCAGTCATTAAAGCCACTTCGTCTGCAGTAAATTGTAGCACATGCCTCTTTGATCATGAATGCTTGCTTGGGCATATTTCAAAATGAAAGCAACATGTAGATCAGGGGTATATTTTGCTAAAATACAGTGAACTCCTTAAATTGAAATATGTTTAGCATCTTCAAAGTTTTCTCGACTTCATTGCGTAATATCTCTGCTAAAGAGTTGTAGACAGCTCTAAATGTTCAAGGTCTGCAATAGAAATTAATCTTGGGGTGTACATCTACAATGAGAAAATGTCAATATGTGTATTAATTTGTCTTATATAAATACTTTAGAAGCTTGAAATAATATTTTTTTAGTAATATATGTGTATATGGTTGTTTACAATGTGTATAATAGCTTGTACACATTGTGTACAAGGGGTCTAAAATTTGTCATATATGTTGTTGGGGAGAGATGAGGAAGAGTAAACACCACAATAATGAGACAAGCAAGAAGTAAAAGCACGGAAAAAGTAAAGGACACTATGATTTAATGTGGAAAAATCCAAAATAGTGAAATAACCATGAAGCCACACCACACCAAGAAATCCACTATAAAAATTGAGAGAAATAGGTACAAACCTCTCTCTCTTTCTCTCTCTCTCTCTCTCTCTCTCTCTCTCTCGTTGCTTCTTTTCTCACATGCACCATTCTCACACTTCCCCTAACTGGAAATACAAGAAAAAGCTAAGTAAAATACTCGAAGGGATGCAACCCTTCAAAAAACGAGAAAGAATAACCGCTCAATCCGTCTTGCAGCACTGCGGCCAATTTAGGGTGTTGTGGAGCTCGGTCTTTGTTTGACAATGCTGCAGCTCTCAAACACTCAGTGTTGCGGTGCTTAGTCTCTGTCTTGATCCTTTACGACATCATATCTCGACCGCTACGGTGCTCTGCTCTCTATCATTCAGCATTGGCGCATTCGAGAACACAACACCGGGGCGCTCGGGTATGCAGTATTGGGGCGTTGTATATAAAAAAAAAAATTCTGATCCCAAGTAGGGGGTAAACCCCCTCGCACTCCCTAACGAACATGAAAAGCTTTGAGGTCTAGACAACAGAATAATTAGATTGATCAACACAATCAAATTCCACACATAACATACGTAAATTGTAGAAGGTTGTAAAACAAGAAATTATTCTATGTGGAGTCAAAACAGTAAATGTAGGTTTCAATTGTAAAACGGGAGATCATAAAACAAGTTGTATGAAATGCCAGTTACAGAGAAAACTAAAACAATAAATGTTGGTTAGTCGTTCATGCCTTCAAAGTGTTGATATTGAAATAATTGAGAAATAAATACGGCACATAAATTTAAAATTTACATAAAATAAAAAAATCTTAAACTTAATTTGACAGTCACAGTGAGCTATAAATAGTAAACAGGATGAAGAGAGCGATGAAGGACATTACCTTCTTGAAGATAAAGAGTGCCTTACATGAGTGAAGGTGACGAGAGTAAATCTTTTTTGACGATGAAAAATGATATTTCAACTTCAAAACCCTAAAACTTTTGTACTTCCATGCAATTTTAGAAGTGAACACAATGCATCAGCTTCTTTTTTTTTAATATTACCTCTTTCTCAGGTCAGGTCTTGTGCTGGTAAAAAAAAAAGTAAATGTTGGGCGGGTCGTCGGGTCACGCGTTATTAAAAAAATTCACGTGGCTGCTAAACGGAAATTCACTAAAAAATATGTGTCAACTAAGGATTGGAGTCCTTGCAAAGCAAGTGATGTCAAGATAGATGTGATGTGAGTGGTGATGGACCGAGGTGATGGACCGCGGTGCTTCAATGTTTCAGTGGAAGTGCAGGAGAGGAATTAGTTTGACATGATTAAATTCCTAATAGCTTAAGAAGTAAACAATTTATTTGCATATTTTTATCCAAATTGATAGATAGGGCATTTATGATAGCTTAGTTATTAATAAATTGATAAGTTAATTTTAGTTATATCGTGAGTTTTTTGCTTGGCTAATGAGCTTGGGCTTGGGGCGCCCGGAAGGATTCCTTAATTGGTGCTGCACCCGTAAGGTGGAAAGCCTGCCCTGACCGAAGCAATTTTACCCCGTCTATCTACAGGTGAATTCCCTTAAATCACTGCTCAACTCATTTGCTTGGGCTATATATGGGGCTAAGGAATAAGGATACTTCTGTATTGTTTAATGGTTTCAGAGATATTTCAAAAATTCAAAAAGCAGACTTGACATTCTTAACCAGAAAAGTTAAAACCTGTGCTCATGTTCCTTATAAGGAGTTGTTTATGTGGTTTCTTCTTGCCTCCTAACTTCTATCATTTTGTCTTGTATAAGTCATCAGAGATTTTTTTTGCCTTAAATTTTTTCGTTTTCACTGTTCTCTTCTCTCCAAGCAGCTCCTTTATAAACATACTTCGGAAATATTACTAGTTTTTCTTGGTCACAGTTGTCATTTGATTCGAGTCCAGTTTTCCATTTGCTAATGCAGCAGCTGATCTATGATCTATATGCTTTGCAGGTTTTTCAGCTCTGTACTTGAGCCTGGGATGGGGGAAGTTCCTAAACATTTTACAAGCTGGAGTCTTTGGGAGTCATTCTAAGGTAGCAAATGTCTTGCAAATGGAATGTAATTTGATTGTAATTTTATTGAGTGCAATGTTCTTTCACCTGATGGAGCATTTGGTGATTTCTGGTAATCAAACACCCAATTGTGTTTCTGTTTTAGAAGATCTTGTTCATAGTTTCTCTTAGGGTCATTTAGGATCAACTTTTTTATTTGGGCTTTTAGAAAAAAAAATTTTGATTTGTACTTTTTTTATTTTTTATTTTTGCTTTTATTTTTAAAAATAAAATAAAGTTTTTAAATACTTAAAATAACTTTTACCTGATATTTAGTTCCTTTTTTTATGAATACCACCCTTACACTTTTTCCTGCCGGTGGGAAAAAAATTATTATTTGCATGAGTTATAACAAATTGAGGATAATTAACTCCCCTTTGGGAAAAAAATTAGAGCCTTAACATGTGATAACAAATTTCTTCCACATAGAATCCAACCACTTTAAAAGAGGATAGTTGACTTTCTTTCAAGAGGAAAATTGTAGACTTGATGCAAGGTTTATTATTCTCAAGTGACATAGATTTGCTTGAAGGATTATTTGATATTTATGGTAGACAAGTGCATTAAACATTGTTGTTGTTGGGTCGTAGGACGTTTTGGATGAAGAAGTAGAGGGTTGATTTGGTTAATGTCTTAGTTTCTTAGTATATCAATTCAACATTGTTTGGCAAACTAGTCATTAAATCCACTTTGTCTGTGGTAAATCATAGCCCATGCCTCTTTGATCATGAATGCTTGCTTGGACATATCTCAAAATGAGAGCAGCATGTAGATCGGGGGTATATTTTACTGAAATATAGTGAACTCGTTAAATTGAAATATGTTTAACATCTTCAAAATTTTCTCGACTTCATTGTGTAATATCTCTGCTAAAGAGTTTTAGAAAGTTCTAAATGTTCAAGGTCTACAACGGAAATTAACCTTGAGGATGTACATCTGCAACGAGAAAAGGTCAATATGTGTATTAATTTGCCTTATATAAATACTTTAGAAGCTTGGAATAATATTTTTTTAGTGATATATGTGTATATGGTTGTATACAATGTTTACAAGAGCCTGCACACAGTGTGTACAAGGGGTCTAAAATTTGTCTTATATCTTGTTGGGGAGAGATGAGGAAGAGTAAACACTGCAATGACGAGACAAGCAAGAAGTAAAAGCAACAAAAAAGTAAAGGACATTTGGATTTAATGTAGAAAAATCCAAAATAGTGAAAAAACCATGAAGCTGCACTACACCAAGAAATCCATTATGAAAATTGAGAGAAAAGGTACATATCTCTCTTCTCTCTCTCTCTACTTCTTTTCTCACATGCACTATTCTCACACTTCCCCTAACTGAAAATACAAGAGAAATCTAAGAAAATAATTCGAAGGGATGCAACCCTTCAGAAAACGAGAAAGAATAACCGTTCAATCCGTCTCGCAGCGCTGCGGCCAATTTAGGATGCTGTAGTCTCTGTTTGACAATGCTGCAGCTCTTAAACACTCAGTGTTACGGTGCTTAGTCTCTTTCTTGACCCTTTACGGCATCATATCTCGACCGATGCGGTGCTTTGCTCTCTATCTTTCAACGCTGGGGCATTCGAGAACTCAACACCGGGGTGCTCGGATATGCAGACTTTGACATTCTTAACCTGAAAGTTAACACCTGTGCTCATGTTCCTTATAATCAGTTGTTCACGTGTGGTCTCTTCTTGCCTCCTAACTTCTATCATTTTTGTCTTGTAGAAGTCATCAGAGATTTTTTTTTTCCCCCTTAATATTGTTCGTTTTCACTGATCTCTTCTCTCCAAGCAGCTCCTTTATGAACATACTTTGGAAATATTAGTCCTTTTGAATGATTACTAGTTCTTCTTGGTCACAGGTGTCATTTGATTCAGGTCTAGTTTTCTATTTGCTAATGCAGCAGCTGATCTATGATCTATGCTTTGCAGGTTTTTCTGACCTGAAATCAGCTCTGTACTTGAGCCTGGGATGGGGGAAGTTCCTAAACATTTTACAAGCTGGAGTCTTTGGGAGTCATTCTAAGGTAACAAATGTCTTGCAAATGGAATGTAATTTGTTTGTAATTTTATTGAGTGCAATGTTCTTTCACCTGATGGAGCATTTGGTGATTTCTGGTAATCAAACACCCAATTGTGTTTCTGTTTTAGAAGATCTTGTTCATAGTTTCTCTTAGGGTCATTTAGGATCAACTTTTTTATTTGGGCTTTTAGAAAAAAAGATATTTGATTTGTACTTTTTTAATTTTATTTTTGCTTTCATTTTTAAAAATAAAATAAAGTTTTTAAATACTTAAAATAACTTTTACCTGATATTTAGTTCCTTTTTTATGAATACCACCCTTACACTTCTTCCTGCCGGTGGGACAAAAATTATTATTTGCATGAGTTATAACAAATTGAGGATAATTAACTCCCCTTTGGGAAAAAAATTAGAGCCTTAACATGTGATAACAAAATTCTTCCACATAGAATCCAACCACTTTAAATGAGGATAGTTGACTTTCTTTCAAGAGGAAAATTGTAGACTTGATGCAAGTTTTACTATTCTCAAGTGACATAGATTTGCTTGAAGGATTATTTGATACTTATGGTAGACAAGTGCATTAAACATTGTTGTTGTTGGGTCGTAGGACATTTTGGATGGAGAAGTAGAGGGTTGTGTTAGATAGTTGGTAATTAACATAAAATTTGCCGAACAATTATGAAGAATATGTTAAAGCTAGGCCGTTCCTTAAAAGTAACGTGATATGTTTTACATGCAACCAAAATATTGCAAGGGTTGTTGCATTGACTTATGGTGTGATGTTAATTATGCAAGTGTTTTTATATCAAGGATATATGTGGGTAAAGAAGTTAGTCTATGAAATTAGATTTAGAATATATGTATTCTTATAGGAAATTTTATAGAATTAATATATATTATGATTAGTAGGAAGATAAATATTCTATGTATTTGGGAAAATTAAATAAGTTGGGGAAAAAGCTAAAGAGATTGATGGTTTAGGATTTAAATTATGATATTTACATAGGAGTCGTACTAGAAATATTATATATGTGATTATAAATAATAATTTAAAGGATAATATTATAGAAATTAATAAAATTATTACTTTTAAAACTATTATTAATGCCATAAGTGCTTATGCTACTTAAGTAGGTTGGATATATTTTTAAAATTAAAATTTTGGAATGGCTTGCAAAAATTAATACAAAAGATATATCTTAAAAATAAAAATTTTCATTGAAGGAGATTTAAATGAACTTGTTGGTAGAGTGATATAAGATTTTAAAGACATTCATAGTAGTTATGAGTTGGAGTAACTAATGAAGGCGGTAGAATGATATTAGATTTTGTTATATCTTATGATTTTGTAAGTTTTAATACTTTGTTTAAGAAAAGAGATGAGCATGTCGTAACTTACAAGAATAAACTTAGTAAAATTTATATTGATTATTTTCTTTTAAGAAAAATAAATCGTTTAGATCGCAAAGTTGTTAAAGTCATTATGAGTTAAAGTTTATGTATCATCGTTTATTAGTTTTAGACTTTAAGATGGAGGGTTGAAATATGAAAAATAAATAAAATATGATTATATGATTAAATGGATATATTTAAAAAAAATTAATAAATATAATTATGAGAGTAAGATTTTAGATCTCAAGATCTGGATTGTTAATGAAGAAGTTAATATTTTTTAGAATAAAATAATTAGTGATATTAATAATGTTGTAAAGTATGTGTTTAAAAAAAATTACTAATAGTAAAAAATGTTGGTTGTAAAATCAAAATATGCAATAAAAGATAAAAAATAAGAAATTTTATTAAAAAAATTAGTTTTGATATAAAAACTAATAAAATTGGGAAAGATATAGATGGACACATAGGGTTTAACAAAGCAATATATGGTGCAAAAAATTTAGGGTTTAGTAATTTATATAATATATTAGATATTAATGATGACAAAAGATTTATATATAAGTTAGTCAAGCAAATAGATATGAGAAGTAAGGATTTAGTTTAAATGTATTATGGATGAAGATCAAAATGTGATTTTCTTAGAAGATATTTAATATCGTGGATAAGATATTTCAACAAACTTTTCAATGAATGTTGTGAGAATATAATTTATTTTAGTGATCTTAGCACCCTAAATACAAATTGTTATTTTAAGTAGCATCGTATTTTTAAAATCGAAGTTGGCGAGACTTCAAAGAAAAATGAAGTGTAAAAAAGTAGTTAGATCTTTTGATATTCCAGTAGATGTGCGGAAATGCTTAGAAGATCAATGAATTTATTGGTTTATTAAAATTTTTAATATATTTTGAAGTCTTAAAAGATGCTAGATGAGTGGAGGAGTGTGTTGGCTTCTATTTTTAAGAATAAAGACGATGCATGAGAGTATGCAAATTAGAGAGGAATTAAGTTAATGTTTCATACAATAAAATTATGGGAGACTGTAAGTAAGCATAGGTTACGATGTGATACTAATATTTTTGATTTCATACAATAAAATATATTTGTTGAGAGGTTTGATTGAGAAGTATAGAGGGTAAGGAGGATATGCATATGATATTTATTGATTTAGAGAAAACATGTGATAAAGTTTCAAGAGAAGTGCTCTGGAGAGTTTTAAAAAAGAAAGTACTTAATAATGTTTATATTTAAGTTATAGAGGATATATATGTTGGAGTTGTTGATTGTGTTTAATTACAAGGTGGTTTGGACAAGCATTTCCTATTTTTGTTGCAGCACATCAATGATCAATTTTAAGCCCATATCTTTATGTTTTAGTCATGGATGTTCTTATTAGATATTTGCAAGAGGACGTACCTTGGTGTATGTTTTTTTTGCTAAAGATATTCTTCTTGTTGATAAGATTAGAGGAGTTGATGAAAAACTTGAATTATAGAGGTTAACCTTAGAGTCTAAATGTTTTTATTTAAGTAGATCTAAACTTGCATACACAGAGTGTAATTATAGTAGTAATAGATCTTGTGGTGGGATTGTGATGTTGGGTGTTTAAGTTATTAAAAAGAGTAAACATTTTAGATATCTCAGGTTTGTTGTTCAAAGCAATATTTAAATATATAAGGATATTATAAATAGAATTCAAGTTGGATGTTGAAGTGCCAGAATGCATTGTACTTGTGCGATAAAAAAGTACTCAAATTTAAGAGAAAATTTGATAAGATGGTGGTGAGACTTGCAATGTTTTATGGCGCAGAATATTGGCCATTAAAAGAGAAGCATAAAGTTAAGTATTGCAGAGATAAGGATGCTCGGGTGGATTAGTGACTTTACACTTAGATAAAATCATTAGGCTCAATATAGACGAAATGATCAATTATGTAAGTAAAATTATAAAACTTCACACTTCTCATCAATTGGAGATGATAAGATTATAAAGTATTGAAGTTAAACTTGATTTCCTATAACTATAATAAAGGTTGCTTAAGAAGTAGTGGATGGTTATGATAGTGTTAAGTCAGATGCTTTTAGTTAAGCATAAGAGTTAGGGCAATGATGGGCTAACTATGACAATCGCATAATTATAATCAAACAATGGTGATCAAATGATGATGGCTATATAATAATAACTTGGCAATATCACTTAGGTGATGACATGCATATGATAGTGAATGGTTTAAGATTGACATGTGGTGGTGGTCAAAAGATGATGGTCAGATGATGGCTGATGGTTCATGATTGTTAGACTAATACAATTGGATGATAGCGATCGTTGGCGATGATCATGAATGTTAAGAATTAGGTAGAGCTCTGAATTTTTTTAAATATTCAAGCTCTTTCTAATCTCAAGTTTGTCTTTTATGTGAAAAATAAGGGCTTATTTATAATTCCTTAGAGTGACATTTTAATTATTTTGTCAAAATTGTGAAACACTCCATTGGGTGACCCATATTTATTTTTTTATTATAGATTATTCTTTCAGCATTTAAGTGTCTTATTGATCCTAGAGTTGAGTTATGTTAAGTTCATTGAATTTCTCTATTTGAAATGCTTATTTTGATTTTTAGCATGTAAAAATTGCAGATCATTTAATCATTCAATTAAAATCCTTAAATTGCCAGCCACAATTAAATTGCTTGATTAGGTTCATTTCCTTAAAACATTTAATTTAGCTTTTCTATTAAAAAATTTAAATCAACATTCATGCCCGATCAGGTACGTTTTTTGAAGTTATATAATTTGCCCCTATTTTTAAATGTCAAAATTTGTATTGTTAAAAAATACCTTATATGATTAAAAAATTCTTGATTTAAGATAATAAATTTTAAAAACTACTATATGTGACTACTCGTCAGATATCAACACAAACCTCCTCTTTGGATTGTGAACAAAGAAAAATCTCCCCAATCCTAATTTTGGCCATTCTTGAAGATATGTAATAAGATATAAGCATAGATGTCTCTAATGAAATAAATTAAAAAAGTTATGAAAATATTTGGCTATATGTAAAGTCTAAATAGCTATGTAATTTTAAAAATTTATTAGGGTGACATACCATGGGTGGTTTGCACTCCTAAAGACTCATGTGATATCTTATTATGATAAGCTAGATGATACTTACTATTAGGTGAGTACTCACCCAATAATGATAGTGAACTTATCACGACCACATACCAAATCTTAAAATTATAAGGTCAACCTGTCTACTCAAGTGCTAACTAACTTCGTGTTTGAATCCAATATAAATACTTGTAAGATAAAAATATTCTAGATATTCAGAAAGAGCTCCAAATATCTAAGAATGTAAGAATAAGTCAATATAGAACTCAAATAAATATGATACGATTCAGCTTCAAAAAGTTCTTAAGAAGGAAGGCTACTATAGAGCTAGTAAGGTTAAGTGAGTATGAAGCCTATCGAGAAATGACAACCACAAGAACATGGCCGCTATTTAAAAGAGTTGCCTTGTCTAAAGTGTAGAGCTAGACATGTAATATTTTAGCAAAATATGCAAAAAAGACCAAATGAGGTAGTATAGCCAGAACAGCACGGATTAGCATAGCCAATTCAAGATGTTTTAAAGTCAAAAGAGCATGAACATGAGAGAAACAATGCAATCACAAGGGCATGACTCTAATTAGAACAATAAGTCTGAAGAGCAGAACTTGTGTAAGGCCTTTAGCCAAAAGAGCATGATTGAAGAGAATGGAAATCACAATCAAAAGTGCATAGTTGCACTTAGGATATGA